ATAATACATATACAATCTTCATATAACATTAATAATATCCAAAATATGCTATTAAACAATTAATTAGCATAAATTCATTCCTCATATAAAAGTTACAATATATAAATGATTAATAAGCACGATATTCATTCACTATAACTTTCAAGAATATAATTAATTTTTTTAAAAACAAATGACTAAATTTTGAAAAGCAAACCCTAATCTAAAATAATTATAAAATTAAAATTAAATTTGTAATAATAAAAAAAATATGTTAACTTAAAAACCCCTAATGTAAACAATACAATTATAATTAAAAACAAATTAATTCAGAAATTGAAATTGAATAAAAGATGAAAAAATGAAAAACAAAACCTGAGATTTCAAGTGGACGGAGACGGAAGATGGGTAGACGACCGGCGGTTGATGGTGGCGGACGGAGAAGATGATCGGATAGCGACCGGCGGATGATGGTGGCGGAAGGCGTCGCGGAGGAGACGAAACTACACAACAACTCTTTGTGGTTTCTGTCTGCGAAATCGGAGAAACTGAGAGGAGTTCCCGTTTTTAGATCTGTTTTTGGCGACGGATTTAGCGACGGAATTTTTCCGTCGCCAGCTCAAAACGCAGCGTTTCAATTATATTCTTTTACCGACGGAATTTTCCGTCACCAAACTAACGACGGAATTTTTCCGTCGTCTAATATGCCGCGCACTACCTCCCGCCAATACGGAGCGACGGAATGCTGATTCCGTCGTAAAGTTTGGTAGGTGTAAAATTCCGTCGCTGGATCCGTCGCCGTTAGCGTCGAATTGCATTCCGTCGCTATAATCCGTCGTTTTTTTCGCGTTTTCTTGTAGTGAAGTTTAGAATAAATTGGCTATTGTAGAATGTTATATTATAACTTTGGAAAGAGGTGGCTAGAGGTGGCTAGAATCCTCTTTGCGAAGATTATTGGGTAAGTGTTACCCGCTAGTAATTCTTGGATATAACTTCCCTGAAGAAGCGGAGACAACGATATTTTTTGTAGATTCATCTTAAATTAAAGATAAATGAAATGAAATAAATTAAAAGCAGATGAAAGGGATTGATGTGTACCAGGGCTATGTAATGAATGTAAGCTTCGTGTATGATGCTCTTTTTAAACCTGGAAAAATTATTATCCATAACAATAAGCAATCAATCCTGATAAAAGATGTAGATTCGAATATATTTTAGTAAAATGAGAACAATTCTCATAGTGAATGCATACAAAAGATATAAGAGCCTGACCTGTTTTAATATGATTTCAATTAGTAGATCCTTCGCGTAAGGATAGCACAAAAACTTAAGCTATATGATGATTTATGAACCAATCTATCATTTTAGCCATTGAGAATAGAATTCTACTTCTAACCCATAACAAATTTTAAAATACTACCTATTCCCAACTCGTATTATTCTTCCATGTTTTCATTAAATTTTGGAAATTGGAACTAAGAAGGGTATCTTTTGGGAGTCCTAAATACCCAGTCTTAAGCTTTGAACAAATACTTGGGTATGAAAACTCCCTCTCCCAGTCTTTGAGGCGTCTCGCAGGAATTCATTTGAGTAGGGAGCTTGAATTAAAAATGAAAATTACCTCAACCTAATCTTCTGACTTAATGAAAGGATAATCTCTGTATTTGACAAACATGGTTTGTAGCATTTGACTGTTGGGGCTGCATGTTTTGGCACTTGATGAGGTTTTTCCTTTCATGTTGCTATGCAGAGAGCCGTAATGAGGTGGGCTTGAAAATGTTTAGGACCTATTTACTGGCCTACTATTTTTATGTGAAAGAAAATGAGAAGAAATAAAATATGGAGGAGAAAATGAATAGAAATGTAAGAATAAAATGTGTTCTTTGAATAATAAGAATAAAACTCTTCTCTTTGAATAATAAAGAGAAGAATAAAGAGAGAAAATGGTAAAAATTTCTTTCCCTTTTGATTATGAAGAAAAGTGAGAAGAATAAGTAATAAAGTGAAATGAAAAATTAAAAGTTAAAAATAAAATCAACCTCTAGTGTTTCACATTTGTTTTGAGAACTAACTTCAAATGCATATTCTGTTTTAATACCAGCTCTTAATGCTCCAGTTTCTTCTTGAAAATCAGCTTCAACATCAAATTCTTTGGAAAAAATAAGCTACTAATATTTCACTTTTCTCTTGAAATTCTAGGGTCTTAGGCAAGGAAAAGGTTCTAAACATATTTAGGACATAAAAATCAGTCCCTAAATATGTTCTGTCTTCATAGGGCATAAAAATATCAAAGCATATTGGGTGTGGCAAAATATCAGAAAATGTGAAAAATCAACTATAGCCTATTCCAGAATAAAATTTCTAACCCTATTCTTATCAGATCTATCTTTCCATCTTTAGTGTAATCAAAACAGGTTGCCATGCTAAGCACCCACACACATAGTATGTGCCACTAGCTTACTGGGTGCATGCCTCACATCATGAATCTAAAAAATTCATTCGCACTTAATTTCCAACCCTATTCTTATCACACCTATCTAGCCATCAGCCCAACCTGAATGCAACCAACCAAATGGAAGCCACCAAATTTGGAGTTCTTCAGCACACAACTCAATGAAAAACAATTGAATCATTATATATTTTTACAGACTTCTAAATATCAAAGCAAGAACAAATACAAGACAACAGTATTGTTAGAATATAAATAACTGTTCCTGGACCACAACCACAAGCTTGAGCTTTTGGTTGAATTGATTCCTTGACATGGTATCAAAGCCTTGATGACCAAGAGGTCACGAGTTCGAAACTCACTGCCACCCAGTTTAAAAAAATTAAGGTTTCACGTGCAAGGCTCGAAAAAGACTACGCCTGCACGTGAGGGGGCGTGTTAGAATACAAATAACTTGTTCTGGGCCACAACCACAAGCTTGAGCTTTTAGTTGAATTGGTTCATTGACATGGTATCAGAGCCTCATTGACTAAGAGGTCACGGGTTCAAAACTCAGCGCCACCCAGTTTAAAAAAATTAACGCTTTATTGATTGAATGAATAGAAGAGGAATACAAAGTATGTATTTATAGGTGGAGGAATATATATTCTAGAATCCTCCACATTAATGACTAATTATATAAGGTAATATTATATAATAATAACTCTAACTATAATAGTTAACAACCATAATTATAATATATAATATTAAATATATTAAATATTTGATATATTTAACATGCTCCCAACGTCATGAACGGTGAAGATTGAACGCCAATTTTACTTGAATCGTGACCAGAATTGTAATCAAAGGCTAGAGGCATATCTTCGGCTAGAGTAGACTGAATGCATCCGGCCTAGAAAAGAAGAAGAAAGATTGCCAGGAAAGAGATGTGAAGGTGCTGATGAGGAGAGGAGAAAAGCCGCTGCGAACAGACTCATGCTGCTAACGTCGAAAGAGGGAGAAGGTTGACGCGCGCTGGTGTCGTGCGTGACTAGGTTAGAGAAGAAACACAAGAAATGAGGTACTGCCGGAGATGCATGTTGACTGAAGATCTACCCACTAAGCAGGTTGAGGTGATGATCTTCATGCCAGTACTTTGGTGGAGTAAGGGTCACCGGTCAAAGCTACGGCAATTGGGAGAAGAGGATGGCGTTAGAGACGTCGGTGACTATAACAGAGATTTTTTTTGTATAATGGAAGAATTTATCCCTTTAGGACAGAGTTGTGCTGTTAATCTAGGAGGAGGACGGAGGCAGTGGATGCTCGGTTCGATCTCGGCCATCAATTTAAAGAAGAAGAGCAATTGCTGAGGGCGACACCGGTGGAAGATCTGGCGCCAGTAGGAATTGATTTAGAACTCTTTTTTTTAAGTCGTCGGACAACAAAAAAACTAGAAAACTTTGTAGTTTTAGGAGATGGTGAAGAATTTGGGTCAGAGGAAAATAGTGATCCGGCGGGCGGCGATTAATGGCGGTGCCGCCCGCCAGAAGCGAAAGCGGAAAAATTTAGGTCACCAAGAACGGTGGCTTTGATACCATGTAAAATAATAAATAACGCTTTATTGATTGAATGAATAGAAGAGGAATACAAAGTATGTATTTATAGGTGGAGGAATATATATTCTAGAATCCTCCACATTAATGACTAATTATATAAGGTAATATTATATAATAATAACTCTAACTATAATAGGTAACAACCATAATTATAATATATAATATTAAATATATTAAATATTTGATATATTTAACAAGTATTAACTAATTAAATGTAACATTCTTGTAGTTTTAATTTAGATTTCATATTCAAAAATTTGAAAGAAAATATGCATATAATTCAATTCCAAAAAACCAATTTGGAGTTCAAATCATTAAATTTTTACAGAGTATAAATTTGGTTAAAAACCTAAAGAAAATACAGCTCAATCTTTAACCAAATTGCAAAGTCATATTGGTTATAAAATTCTTTTCAATTTTTCTATCTACAGGGTTAAGATCATTTCCAAAAAACATGCAAAGAAGAATTGAAGATTCAATGAATCTGAATTTGAAGTGCATACAAACTACAGATTGCAGCAAAGAAAAATAAAACTCTCTGTGTAAACAAGAAACGAAGTGAGCACATGATTAAGGATAACCAAATTAGGTTTTTTCAAGAATGAAAAGCAGGGAAAACGAAGA